CTAGGGTCGTGTGAATATCATTGATTTGAAAAGGATGATCAAAAATCTAATTTTTGTTATAAAAATATAGTTTATAAAGAAAGCAGAGCAAATTTATGACTTTATTGTAAAAGAATATGTAGTCACTATGAAGTCAATAAAAAAATTACACCAAGAAATATTTCTTAAATTTTTAAAAAATTACTAAAATAAATTAAATAACATATTTCTGTCTAAAATTTTCATGATTATGTTATTATATTAGTCTCTCTACTATATATATGTACTATATATATATATATATATATATATATATATATATATATATATATATATATATATATATATATGCATAAAACGGATATATAATAAAATCTAATATGAAAATCTAATATTTATTTATGTACTTATTTGGCATATTTTAAATAAGCTTATGGAATATATGAGTATGTTAGTCAAATAAAGCAATTTTTCATTCGCTCGCTTCAAAAAGCTGCAAAATAAGTTTATATGACAGTGCGCTTACATGACATGGAAAAACAAAGGATTTTATAACTTTTAGTGGTTACTTTATAGAGAGGCACAAAGCGCGTGCAGTGCGAGTGGATACTGTTTTATTCGTTTAATATTGTCGGAACAAATACAAGGGGAACATGTCAACATTCTTCCTTCAAACAGCACTAGCGAGTAGAATGTGGAGAGGCACGGACGCGGACAACGCCTTTTTAAATATAAATTGCTTGGGAATTGTGTTCAGCCTTCCGCATTCAGAAAAATGACCTGCCCAGCTTAGAGTGCGAGCTTAGAATCGTATAATGCATGAAATTACAATTCGTAAATTTAGGTAAATTCTCTTTATAAAGGAATGTGGTTACGTATTCCGGTATCTACTAGTCATTATGTTTCTTCAGTGTTCGTAATTCCGTAATAAATGTAGTGGAAAAATCGCAATCAGTCGGAAAAACCTTTTTATGGAATATTTTATTCCTTACAAGCTGTTTCTGGCAACTTCGCCCGCATGCATTAGTATAAAAAGTACCCTAAGTATTTAGTGAGAATATAGTCTACCAATGTGCTACATTTCATTAAAATTTGTTTAGCCGTTTAGGCGTGTAACAAACATTTTACAAACTTTCACATTTATTAGGGGGAAAAGGGGTTATTAGTAATGAGACTTCATTACTATTATATCATGAACATTACATGAAAACCATTGTTTTGTCAAATTCATCATGATGGAGCAACAGATCTGCATTTATCCTTGTATTACCATCTTTCACTGGTATCCCACCAGCGTATACAGCGATAGCGCAGATGGGGTTACCATTTAATTTTTACCAATTAAAAAATATCAATTATTAACCAGTACGTATCGTCTAATTTTAGTAGAAGCCTGTTTGATTAGAATAGTACCTACCTACTTCAGTAATACTGCTTACATGAAGATTAATAATGAATAGAGAAAGCAACTTGTGGACTATGTCGAGGAGTGGATGAATGTTTTTCATCATAATATTGATATATCCATCTACTATTTGCACTAATAATAAATTAATACCTTAAGTTTTTATATACAAAGATGTTCTTTCGTTTCTTCATACTTCAGAGAAAGCTATCGTCCGGCAAACCTCTGATATTTTTTATGTATACCTAATTTTTTTTTATAAAAATGTCATTGTTTTTCCTTGTTGTATTTTCATGTGACATCTTTCTTATCATTGTACTGTTAGCTGTGTTTTTATATAATAGTTTTTTTTTATTTTATATATATTAATATATATATATATATATATATATATATATATATATATATATATATATATATATATATATATATATATATATATATATATATATATATATAGTGTATATACTCGTTAATGTATAAAACTCTGTAAATAGTAACTGTTTATTAATCTTGGGTTCTTGTTACTATCTCTTTCCCAATTTTACTTAGTATGTTCTTTGTAAATTCTAAACAACTAAAATCCTTTTGAAGTTAGTTCTATAAAGACGGCCTAAGTCTTGCTGAGTTAGTTCTAGATACTAAGAATGCATCCTTTACAAGTTTAGTTCTTAGTAAAGTAGACCAGGAAAAACTAGGAAAATTCGTAAAGCAAAGGCTTAAAACGTTATACTAAGTATGTAAATAAAGGTCACTCTCATGAATCAAAGATATGACTGATGTTTATAGAACTGTAACAATGTTAGTTTTTTATCTGTAACTAGTATTTTATCCAAATTTGTATTTTACGAGTATATTGGTCCATCAAGGACCGGGATAAAGAGTAGTGTTTTCCTTTATTCATTCCAAATATTACATGTACAAAAATTTTTATAACGTCGGGTTTAACTGTTGAGGCGCCAAAAAGTAACAGACAAACAAATGAATGAACAAACAAACTTATTTTGGCATATCAATAGTGAGGATATTTAATACTATTACAATGTTGTTTGTACCTGTAGTTATTATTAATCAATGTACAGATAATGGCTTTTACTCTCGAAATGTGAAAATAACTTCTCACTGACTTTGAGAACATTTTTTCAAGATGCGTACATCTGCAAAGGAAAGGGAAAGAATTATAGCATCGTTTCGAATGTGAAATTGCGACCATGTGCTGTGTGAAACGAGTTCTTATGAAATTTATAACTGCTTTATCTTCTTAATAGATACGGTAAATAAACGGGTAGAAAAGTCCATTCGGATTGTTACTATTGAATTCCGCGCAAATGAATTTGCCGTCACATAATTAAACCCATCAAGTTAACAATAAAACGAGGAAGGATGTGCGGCGTGAGGGTCGTAATTTACGACTTTTATGCTGGTTATATGTAATATCCACTAAATGATTAGTCCTTATTTTTACTGACAATCTTTAGTAGTAGATGTGGCATTGGGCTTAATACTATAATGGCAAAGTTCTTTGGTGGAAGATCTACCTAAAGAATTTCGCCCTTTAGATAAATTATAAATAAAGATATTTCTTACAAACTTTATTACATAAATGTTTATAGAACTATACGTATGAGTAAGAACAAAATGATGGACACATATTCGCTGTCATTTATCAAGAGGAATTTTCGCTAAACGTGACTCAGACTCTAATGAATTTTCATCTGGATCTCTTTGAGGTTGAAGGTTTGTGATTATCTATGTACTTATATTTACAATATATTATATTTTAATAACTCGCTTATAAATAGCTACAAGTATATATCGAAGTAAATGGATAAGTTCATAAGAATGTTAAAGAAATTATCCAAATTAGTTAATTTTGTTGAAGAGGCTCTTGAGTGTACTTGTAGGGATATTTATGGACAAATATTCCACCATAGATCCGCAAAAGTGAGTTTTAAAAGTTGTTTGTGGGTTCACCCCAAAGTTGTTGCCCCGAAGAGTAATCAAACACTCCAAAATACACTTTGAACGCAACTCAATTACAACGCTAAATGTAGTAGGATTATGGGCAACTTTGATATTGGAAACGTTGAAGTTCTTGACTTCCTATTTCGATTTTCTCAGTTTTAGTAATTAAGAATGTAAATATTCTTGATTGGTAATTTAAGAGGAATAATATTCACTTAGTACTAATTTATTAATTTGATCAATTCGAAAACAGAAGAAAGTTATCAAGTTATCTGTTCAGAAAAATCTTATTTCCTATACATTTTCTTCTGTCAAGGGAAAGAATTGGCATTAGGGACTTAGTTACAAGAGTTATTGAATTTGTAATGATTTATAGAGTATTTTAATCTCCTTAAAAAGTTCAATATTTCCGTAGTAGTGCCAAATCTGCAGTGCATTTATTTATTCACAGTTTGGGCGCAAAACGATTAACACTAGGCTCCGAGTAGCGATCTAATAAATTGCCTGAAGATGCCGCGTTTAAAGATGAAACACATGTTGCAAAACGGGCGCGAACAAAATAGCAGTCAGGGATTGAAGACTAATACAGAATTGTTGTGGAACAGGTTGTGGAATTTCTGGTAGTAATAGTGGTAGTCAATCTTCGAGTGTTGACAATCAAACACATATTACAGAATTAAACAAAATAATTTTAATCAAATAACCATATTTATCTGTCTATCTATTAAATACGATTTTCAAAAGTTTACATACCCCAATTAATATGAATATATGATAGGTAGAGAAAGACTTACTTAATGTTGGGATATCAAGAAACATTGTCAAACCTGCTGCTTTGTAGGTATATGAAGAAAATCCATTAAAATAGCATTTTATTTTACCTTATATATTGTAAAATTAAAATCGTTATCATTTTTTTAAGTAAATGTTCTACCAAATTAACTAAATTTTTTTATTAAAGATCTTTGATAAAAATTTTGTCAAAAAAAAGTTTTGAGACTACCACAATTACACCGCGCGTGCAGCTGTTAAGTTAGCGTGGGAGGTTTTAATATTTTTGTGTTACTGAATTTTTCATTGATGCAATTTCTGTTTTAATATTTCCTGTAACATGGTTAGACAAGCTGTATCTTGCGGATTTGCCTCGCGTGAATTAGTATATATAGTAGTAATATAGTAGGATATAACTTACTAGTTTTTCCGTAAAACAGTAATCAACATCTATCCAACCATCCATTCATCTGTCCTTATAAACTTTCACATTTATAATACTAATAGGACAGGATATATCTAATCTATTATTATTGATTTTAATTTTATAATCTACAAAATATGAGGATTTTATAAGCCATGAAATTAAAATTATATGTTGGTTGCTAGCGTAAAGTAAGAACTAATTAATTAGTGTAATGACTTGCTTGCGGTGCGGTTAGTGGGCACACAATACATTACGGTTGAACATAAATTACAAACACAATTTATTTTATTGCCATTAGGAAATGAAACGTCATCAAAGTGTATCATAATGATCACTTTGGTGAGTGTTGTGGCACCAATATGGCGACTCCGAGTGTTCGCGTCAATACTTTCTTGCAATGGAAAGAAAAACCTTTTATCGACAAGCTTTCCAAATTCTACATTATATCTGAGATGGTATTGGGTCTCAACAGGTTACCACTTGTTATTTCGAATATGAGGGTTTTTTATTTGCCTTTAATGATTTCTTACTCGCTTTTCCTTATAATATCGATAATTTCTTCTACAATCTACACATATGACACCAGGTATGTCGCTGTTGTTGTAGTCATGAATATGTGCGAGTATATATTTTCTATAATCTTTAACTTCATTACTTGGAGAAGAATGCAACGTTTTTACTGTGAACTGTCTAAATTTGACGCTGAAGTGGGTTGCAGGCCGAAAGTTACACGAGGTTCTATTGGGAATTTGGTTCAAATGCTCATTCTGTTAATCTTGTATGTAGTTTTTTATATTATATCTTTTAGTATGGATAATTTGAATGACTTGTTATTACCGTTGGTGCCTGTTAATTTAATTCATGCCTTAGAGGTCCATTATTATGGGCACTTGCTTAGTCTTCTCATTCCGAGGTTAAATTTGCTTAATTATTACGCGGAATCTTCATTGTCCAATGAGAAAGCAATCGTTGCCCCGAAGGTAGAAGAATTTGTATACTTCAAATATAACAATATAACCAACGGACAAATGAAGAAGTTGATGGATCTTTATCACATTGTTATTAAAGCCTATGATTTTATGGTGGAAGCAATTAAATGGCAGGTAAATGATTTTAAAGTTGAAAATTATTGAACAAAGCATGCAATATTAATTCTCAAGACAAAGTATATATAGTATTTACCCACTAACTGTTGGTATATCTAATTACAAGGAACTATATTTTAATGAATAATTAACATTTCGAATGATATGTACATAACTTAGGTATTTGTTAAAATTGGTTCATCTTATTGCTATGAGGGTACCCATTATACATTGTAACCATTCGTGACGACTAATGTGTTATATTTCTGTAACCTGTAGTAAAATAATGTGATTTCCTGGTAAATAAAGTATTTACCTCATTTGATGTTACAATTAGGTATTAAGTACTAGCCCAAGTTTTAGTTTCAAATGCTTGTGAGTATTTTATTTCAAAATTACAATATATTTTTAACCACTGGTGTCCGATTTTGCCGAAACTTGGCATACATATATAAATTCAGTGACAATACTATATTATGGTACCATCGAGCTGGTCTGATAATGAAGGCGGAAAGTAGCCATAGGAACTCGAAAACTATGCATGGTGAATAAGTTGTGTTTAGCATGTTTAATTATTTTAAAAAAACTTTAATACTGTTTGGTGTCTATAATTTAATGATAAAGCCTTAAGGCTACAAAAGATTATTTTTAAACAAATTTGTTCACATTTTCAGTTGCTGGTGATTATAATAACTTCGTTCATCTCCATTTTGGCATTTTGTTATAGTGTCTCTATAACAATTATTTGTAATTCAGTGAGTAAATTTTTTTATCAATTATAGTAAGTCAAGATAAAGGTATAAAAAAACTGTTACAATGTACAAGGAAAAGATAACCTTTTCACATGTAACAAAATTATTTCTGCTATTATCAGTTTTTTAAAAGGACCGACTCAAATAATGAAAACTCGCTATGATATTTTTATACTGAAACAATAACGTGACGTACATTTTTTTTATTAACCTATAAGGTGAGGTTATTTTATTTAGCTTTATTTTTTGTGTATATGTTACTCGCTTAGGTTACTCGATATTTTTATCAAATTTTTAGTTCAGATTTGACGAAAATTGTGTAATGCTTTTTTTTTAATCGAAAGTGTTAATGTTAGTTGTTACATTCAATCAAGAATATTATTCCTAATTTTATTTTTCTGCAGAAAACTGTTCAGATTGTGGTATAAATTGATTATTCTTATGGTTATGTTAACACTATTATTCTGTAATGAAACAAATAAAAATGATACGAATACGATGTTATTTTAGGACCCTTTAATGGATGTAATATCGGATATGGGTCTCACTATAGCACAAATGATTCCACTATTTTCCCCGTGTATGTTCAGCGACAAAGTTCATAACGAAGTTCGACGTCTTAGAGAGCTGTTAGCTTCCAGACTATATGAGAATAAACTCGGTGAGTATGTAATTAAATCTACAGATTTAAGTAAACATTTACTCTTATTTTTTTTCTAATGGGTGATAATGGAATGGTAACCCCACCCGCGCTAACGGTATACATCGGCGGGGCACCAGTGAAGGATGATAAGTGAGGATGAAGCAGGTCAGTTAGCCCATCGTGACGAATTCAACAAGAATTGTTCATGATGGTTTCCAGGGAGAACCACGTGAAGGTCGACCTAATAGGGCATATTGCTAGCAATGGGGCAGTCAAACTCCATTGTTAACAATCCCTTTCCCCCCTTTACTCTTATTTAAAATAATAATAATATAACGAAGTAATAATTAGACAACAAAGATATTATCCAATGTTTCGCTTAAGACAGTTTAAAATTGATTTCTATAATCGGGTGTATTGGGTTGACTATTTGTTTAGGTTTTCCTCCACGTTATACTATATTTTTGCCTATTGTGTACTGATTTTAATCAGTATGCTAATTATAATAGTTACTGTCAGATTATTAAAGAATAATTTATTAATTTTGACGTTGGTTATTTTTTCATTCTAATAATTATATATTAAACGCAGTTACCCTTCATAGTTATGCAAGTTATATAGTTATCATTATATTAGCCGTTAACTGCTGAATATACGCCTTTTCTGTTGGGATTGACCCCTTCCCGGATTTGCAACCGCAGTTGGACTTTTTTTTTATACCACTGAGGTGGCAAACAACCATACGGCCCACCTGATGGTAAGTGGTTACCGTAGCCTATGAACACCTGCAATACCAGAGGTATTACGCGTGCGTTGCCGACCCTGAAGAAACCTCTTTACTTTGGTGATGTTTTTGAATGAAAGCAGCTGGTCATTCTTCCATCATAAAATTTTTTAAGGGTTGGCATATTCTATGCCGGGACCACAAGATATATAATATTAATATTTAACAAATTAATATTTTGTTATGTTGTTGCCAATCCGCTTACCAAGCGTGGTAAATACTGGCAAAACCTCTCCTAATGTAGAAGGTTTATGTCCAGCAATGGACATTTAACGGCTGATACAATAATAAAATATTTTGTTCCACAACCAATGATAATAAAATTAAAATTTTATTACAAAAGTAAACTATGTTGAATGCAAAAATCTAAATAGGTGCAGATGTGGTTCAGATGTGGTGTATATAATATATATATATATTTTTAAATTGGTTGATAATATATCGATATGGCTACTTATCATACAAAGACATATTTATATGAGCTTCTTGTTTACAGATAAATCAAGTCGCAGCACGGCACGGGCTTTACTCGCTTTGACTGAAGCTCGCGATTTGTCATTTTCTTTATTACGAATGCTGGAAATTGATATTTCCTTGCCATTCAAGTTCATAGGCCTCCTTATCACATACCTAATCATACTGCTTCAGTTTGAAAAAGTGATTAATCCTGACCCGGTAAATGTTTAATTCCAATATATATTCAATTCGTTGCTTGTAGCTATACTGAAAAAATACGTCTGGCATTTGGATTATAAGAAATTTAGGCTAGATAACAAAATATGTTCTTAATATGCAGACGGCATTCTAATAATTAGTTCACATCTATACGATAATTTTTATAATAATTGAGTACATTTCTGGTATACTTAGAGTCTGATAAATACGTAGGATGGCCTATCAAGATAGATAGGCCATCCTACGTATTTATCATCCTACCTATGTTTACTTATCCAAGTTATATTTTACAAACTGACGGACGGACGTATGTATAATCTCATAAATTAATCTTGTTTTGTCTACTTAAGGAATGCTAAAAATATGCAGATTGATGTGTGTGTAATGTGTTTACTTAATGTTATTGTTTGTACAATAAATTAAATTGTGTCAGAAATATGATGAATTTCATTAAGGTATATTGACATAATAATAATTACCATAATAATTATCATCCAGTACATAATTATTTGGTAATATAAAGTATTTACATTTGCTAACTTCTTTTTTCTATTTAAGCATAGACTATTTAACAGAATAGAATTGAAATCAACTTATTCTTAGTGATTAGTTATTTTAAAACATTTTCTAAATCCATCCTTACTCTAGTTACTAGGTTGTTCAAACGTGTCAATCGATTAATTACGACTCTAGAAAGTAACCTTAGATACCCGGCTTAATATCCCTTTATTTCCTATATCTCTTCATATAATATCGCGTTATTTTAGAAATTTGTTAATTAATATTTTTAATAGTAAATGGACGTATTTTTTGTGAAAATAGATGTTAAGGAAAGTGGCTGATTTCAATTGTAATATATGTTAGCGCAAGTGGAAGCGAAAGTAATATTAGACCTAGACTGGGCCCGGATTCTAGGTCCCATAAAAGAAGTTTGTATGTCAAAATGGTACGGACTCACTTTGACTGCAGATTTAGCGTAAGCGGTACACGCTCAGGATGCACCAGAATTCAGGAAGCCACGCCACGTAAATGTCACAATGGCGTTGATCTATTTTGGTCTATTCGTGAAAACCACATTATACATGTTGGATAAACAATCACTCGTGACACTTGGGAACGATAATAGGAAATGTCCAGGGGGTTCACGAGTTCTCCACACAGTAAATAGGCACACAACACCAACCCGTTGCAGAGTGCGCGGTAGACGTTGGATTGGGGCCGACCATTTGTCTGTTTTTCTTATGTCAGGGGAATCGGTAGAATATTACGCGATTGGAGGGTATTATGATACTTATAGGGATGTGACTTTTTTAAACAATAGAAAAAATAATAATAAATATTTATCTAAAAATAACAGAGAATAGAAATATCACAAAGCGGAGGGACTAATAACAGTGAAAGCTTCACGTAAAATTTAATTGGCAATAAATCTCGGCTTACGGGTTCAGAGTTCTCCACTTTTAATATTTTATTTTATTAATTAATTCAAAAGGAAATTTTAATATAATTAACCGAGCAGTGACTTAAAATTTGTGGGTGGCAAGGTCAGGCGAGAAGAAAATATTATGTAATACGCTCAATTATTAAAAGATGAAAATAAAGTTGTATTAGGAAGCATGTTCCTTCTATTTGAAGTTCACATATAACTTCCTTGGCCGTATGGTCCCGGCATTGAATAGTCCACCCCTTCCTTTCTCGTGGGTATCGTAAGAGACGACTAAAGGAAGGCATGGGATGGGCAGTAGCGTCCCTCTTAAATGTTTTAACATCTCCAAAGCCTAATTGCGGTTGTCAATCAACCTGCCAAGCGTGGCAACTTCTGGCAAAACCTCCCAAGCGGAAGGCTTATGTTCACCAGTAGATGGTTAAAGGCTTATATGAGTATATAACTGCTTTATAATAAAATTATAAAACAAATAGTATTATTTTCTCTGATGATATTTTTTCTTAATAAAGATATTCAACATATATACTTATATCATCATGATAAATACTTTATGTGTTAATCATTCTAATAGAGTTTCACAAAAAATAATATTAGTATGAAAAATTATCAAAAAATTAAATGTTTAGTAATAAATACCTTAGTGTAATAGATAAAAATCTGTACATGATATTTACATGTTAATCGTATTATAAAGATATTATTAAATTAGTTTTCTGAGAAGAAAACATCTGTTAGAAACATATGTTTATTTAATTAATTCTTTATCTATGACATATGATTTTTATTTCTTAATCTTATTCCCATCTCTGCGTTACTGTTTATTTTACATTTTATAGTGTATTTGCTTGTGGTAAACACGTGAACGGTTTTTAAATAATCATTTAGATATATTAAAAAATATATATTGTAGATATAGTAACTATTTACTTTTTATCCAAAATTGCTCTCCACTTTTAAATATACCAATGGAAATCATTCTCGATAAAAAATGAATCCAAAGCTCCTCAATCTCTCAATATCCTTGAATTCACATCGAAAAACAAAGCATCAGATGGCATACATCATATTATTTGTAGATGAAAAGTTGAACGAAATGGCAGGTCGGTTCTACCGGACGTTGACTTTATTTATTTCCAAAACCTCACACCATACATAATCCTGGAGACAATAAATCATTGATAGGCAATCCCTGTGAATATTGGAAGCGGTTCGTAGCCGATACCTACTTGTAGATTGATCGATGGTTCTCAATTTATTTAAACTTATAATACATTTGAATTTTTAATCTCCTTAGTTTTTTTTTTATAACACAGGGGGTAAACGAGCATTCGGCTCACATGATGGTAAGTGACTACCGCTGCCTATGAGCACCCACAACACCAGAGGTATTGCAGGTATGCTTCCGGCCTTTTAAAAAGGAATATGCTCTTTTCTTGAAGGCAAGGACGTCGTATCGTTTCGGAAATACTGCTGCTAGAAGTTAATCTCAAAGCGTGGTTGTGTGAGGACTATTTTTATTAGTAGTTATTATTTTATTAGTAATTGTATTATAGTGATTGGCCTTTTTTCTTATTTAGCAGTTACTTCAATCAGTTATAATTAAATTAATCACTTAAGTAAGTACATTTCTACTATTATACATAAGAGCCGTTATACATATAAATATCTTATCTCCAGGAAAGTTTAATAATATAAATAAATACATTGACTTGTCACATTAAAAATTAACCGAATGAGACACACGTCTCTTTGAAATTGAATACGTCTTCCTTCGAATAGATACGAATTGAAATTCAATCTCGTGTCGTGAATCCGTGAAACACAGAACTCGGTTACCTACTTAGTAACTATGTTATTCTACTAATATAACGTGAATGTTTGTGATGTTTGTTATTTACTTTTTATATCAATTACTCAACGGATTATGATGGAATTTTGCTGACAGAGAATTTATAGCTTTGGAAAAGACATTGCTTTTTGCTTGGGGAATGCTTGGATTATAGTTACCTAATTAAGAACTGTGCAGATGAAATCATGAGCAAAAATAGCATATGTTACTTTCGAAAATGTCGCCGTCTTCTCTTAATAAAGAATTTTATTAGGAAATGTTATGAATTTGTAAGTTTAGATGCTTTTAACTGATTAAAAAGTACTGAATTGTCGGTGTACTAGAAATATTACATGAAACATTTTATGTTACACTGTTTACAATTGAATTAGCAAGTAATTCATGAATGCAAATTTCAGTGATATTTGAACGATTTGTTTTTACGAGGATTAGGCAATCGATTTTAGAATGTTGCCAGGTCTATCACGGTTGCACGCGACAAAATTTAGATAGCTAATAAATATTTGTTTTAACGACGTCTATTATTATTGAGAAAGGTTATAGGATAAAGGAGTTTTATATTTTGTAAAACATTTTTGGTATTTTCTTCCATTTCTACCGTGAACTTTAATGACAATGAAAAATCTTCCAAGAAAAATGTTATTGTTACGCGAAACGGGAAAACGGTTAAGGCTATAAATGTATTTGTGTTTAGTAACGAGATTGGCTAAATCGCTGTTCTACGTGTAATACGGTTAATATTTAGATTATCTTGAAACATATACGCGCGAGCTTTTTGTGTTTATCTAATGGTGGCGCATTCAATTGTTATTTAGAATTTGTGAAGTACAAATAGCTCTATTTGTAATTTTGATTCCTATTACTTCTAGTGTAAATAGGTCACATTCTACTGTCAATAGTTTTTAGCCAGCTTCACGATGCCGTCTTGTTTTAAGAACGTGACTTACTTTGGACGGGTTTACATGTCCTCCGAAATACGAAGTAAGTGACAATTATTCTTAAATCTAAACATGAATTTGAGAATTCAAAGGTTTACTCTAAGATTCAGCTTTTCGACACTCAAATAGCATTCAAGTAATATATGCCCAAGCATTTACTTATAATATTGACATAATTATATGAAAATTATGATTAAAATTTGGTTAATAAAACTTTTTACTTTAAAAATATTTAAATATGTTTTAGTTATAACGATTTTTATTATATATAAATATTATATATAATTATTATATAACTTAACTAAGGCCAATAAAAATTTTATTTATCGTCGCCCTCTGCATCTTACCCTAATGCTTGCCTTTATGTCCATTATCCGAGCTAGCGGATCTGAAATTGAACACCACTTGTAAGTCATCATTCAACGAGTTCCGTATAACCATTGATACACGGAACATTAGACACATTAGATACTATTAAACAGTTCAGTGGAGTTGAACCAATTATTTGGAAATGAATACAAATCTAACAATACAGATAAAGTATAAAGAACGACGGCTAATTTAACAATTGTATTTCATTTTGAGCAAATTAAAGTTTAGTAATTTGTGTCTGCATATTCAGTGAACATAACGACGAGATATTTAAATTAATCAATGTAAATTCTGTGTTCTAGATTAATTTGAATTCACTGTACTCACATGTATGTACCTATATGTTACAGGAAAATAGGACTACTAAAGATTTTGTGAAGTACCTAGGAAAATTATGAAATCTGTACAGATGTTAATATTCCAAATTATTACGTCGTCTTTCTGAAAAAACTAGTTATATAAAACAAAATGCTACCGTATTACATTCAGTGATACATCATTTTACTAAACGAAATCTAGTATTTTACTAGATTTCGTTTCAGGAAGGTGAACTTTATACGGATTTTTATTTACAGTATAAGATAATAATTAAAAAAGACTTTAAAATTATTA